TAAATTATCCAAGACTACCATTATAAAACATAATACAAACTAATCCCCTTAGTTTGTATCTAAATTACCCAAACCTATCATAATAAAAATAAACTTATGTCCCTCTATCATTATAAAAAACATAAATAATTTCCCCTAAATAACATTTAAACTACAAACTTCTACTATTATAAAATATATTTTAATGTGGCCCTTAAATTTAATTTTAATTCCCACCTCTAACATTATGAATGGTAATATAAAAAATAACCATTAATTTGCATCTAAATTACCACATCTACCATTATAAAAGAGCCTAAAATAACGCTTGATCAACATCCAAATTACCAAATAAAGCTATTATGAAAATTAATTAAATAATCATAAAGCGCTCTATATATGATCCTAAAGTATCCAAATTTATTGTTAAACTAGAAGTAAATAGAAATGGTATATGTCATTGTCTATATCAAATACATATGCATACATGTAGGATCTCTGGTACGTCTAGAGGGGGTGAATATGCCTATAAAAATTCAACTTAAACTGAAATCAAATTCACCCGCGGCACTGCCGCTCTGTGAGCGCGGCACTACCGCACCTACAGGAGAGATTAGTTCACAGTTCAAAATCTATCCAACGAAATTTAGATATGGTAAATTTCTTAGCTTCATGCAGGGTGGTAGATCACAGATTGACAGCTGAAAGTGGTGAGAACACCACACACAAGTAGATCGGCCTCAATTCTAGAAATCACCTCAACAACAACAAGAACACAAGTGAAGCAACATAAGCACAAGATGACACCAGGATTTATCCTATGGTTTAGCTCGCCACCAAAACTTGCATATATCCACGTTATTGAGGTATACCACTAAGGCTTAGGGATTTATAACCCTACCTCGTTCTCAAGTCAAGAGAGTGAACTCTTGAGATGACGGATGATTTTACTTACTGCAAGAGGTGGTTACAAACCTCCCGGGGCTCCCACACAAGTTGGCAAGCTCCACGGGCGACGCTCTAGCCGGCTAGGAGCCAAGATCCAAGAGTAACAAACACAACCGTCGGCTAAGACGTGAACCAAGTGCCCTTTAGAGTTTAGTAATCAATGGAGATGCTCTCTTATCAAGTTTTGAACCCTTATCCCTCAAGGATTGATGGGGAAATCAATAGATTTGCTTGAAGGCTTGAGGTCAACAATGGAGTGAGGGAGAGAGAGAGAGCTCCTGCTCTATTTTGAGTGTGTTGAAGTGAGGAAGAAGAGAGCAGGTTAGTTCGTTTGTCTATCTATATGTATATACCGTTGGGAAAGAAAGGGAAAGATATATATACCCCTCAGGCCCCAACGGTCACTTAAATCGCAGATAGCCATTGGGGAGAAAAAGAAAAGGTATATATACCCCCAGCCCCCAACGAACATTTCACCCAAGAGGTCGGGCAAGACGAGGTCCACGGCCTTGAGGTCGGGCGAGCCGGAGCCCGCGGCCAAAGGGTCAGGCAAGCCGGAGCCCGCGACCTGGGGTCGGATGAGACGGAGCCCGCGACCAAAGGATCGGGCGAGACGGAGCCCGCGACCTTAGGGTCGGGCGAGACAGAGCCCACGACCAAAGGGTCGGGCGAGACGGAGCCTGCGACCTTGGGGTCGGGCGAGACGGAGCTCACCACCAAAGGGTCGGACGAACCGAAGCCCGCACCCAAGAGGTCGGGCGAGTCGGAGCTCGCACCCACAAGACAGTAAGAATAATAGTGAAGTGTAGACTGTCTTGGCTGTGAATCTCAGGATGCATGTAGTTGTTTGAGCACTTGATAGCACAGATTAGCTTAAGCATTATGCCCCCCTTTATAGTATGGCTTTTTTCTATACTCAAATTCAATATATAAAAGAATTTAAACTTCCTTTGAGTTTGAAGCCATCTATATTTGTAGTTGGGACTCCTTCGTTTCGTGTAGCATCATCGAATATAAATTCTCTGCTCGTCATCTCGATAAATCTCATTAGTTCTCTAATTGCGAGGTCATTATTACCAAAACCCACAATTAAGGCTTGATTGCACTTTCAATACACATATGACATATCAGTGGAATGACACAGATAATTCATTTTAAATTATCTATAACAATAAACTTTGTAAGTAGTTACTTTAGATAATAGTTAAGATTTGAATTGAAATATTCCGATATCAATACTGGTAATTTAACCATAAGAATTTACTTTTTTTATAAAACAATACTATTATACATATATTTCTTTGATAGTGCCATGGTGCATCCCTGAATAACTGTTTATGTTAGTATAGTAACTAAAACATAGTCTAAGACCTATAATCCATTCTTTTATGAAAACCTAAAAAGATATTTTTGAATAAAAGATACAATAAGCACTGGATTTTATGCTTCACACGTGGATAAAAAATTACAAATACTAATAAGATCACATGTTGAAAGCCAATATAGGATGCAACAAGAACCGAGCTAATGTTTCAACTAAATACATATTAAAAACCCACAAAGGTACAATGCAAAGGAAGAAAACACATGCAATGTGATTGATAAATTTATTACAACCTGATAGAGAGATTATAAAGTATCTAAATTAGTATTGTATTAGGAAATGAAGAGAGGGTAAAGGCAATCAATTTTGATTAGTTGTACATATAAATTTATTTACAAAACTTTTAATATATTTATTTTGATTGGTTTATCGGACTTTTCATATTCATACAAATACTTTCAGAAAAGTAAGAGTTGCTGATTAAATATATACGTTACTAAACAACCCTTAGATACTTTTGGGAATGTATATATTACTACTAAGTACTAAGCATGCATGGAGAGAAGGGGTGGGGGTTCTCTCACCTTAAAGCAATAATAGATGTAGTGTTCATTCAGATGCGTACTAGTTGTTGGTCCCCTAACCTCCATGGCCTCCCTTGGCTCCCAAGACAGAGCAAGCAGGCATAATGAGACTTTTCTCGGGGCCCCATCCGCCAAAAAAGGATTTATCAGATCGAAAGGTGGCATGCATATCCGATCTGGCAGGAACAAAAAGGCAGGAAACTCCACTGCAATCCAAATCCAATGAAGCTGAAGCAACACCTCAGCACCACACACACAAACTTCGATTTTTTCCCCTTGTTGTTTTCCAACAGTGATTCTAATCAATCTTGGTTTGACAAATCCCATGGATGATAAATAATGGGAGAAGAAAAGCTGTGCAGACTGCAGAGAAAGGACATGGATTGACCCTGTGCGGGCCATGGTTAACTTGAGAAGTTCACAAAGAAAGATGCATGCAGATTCATGTAGCAGCCAGCGAACAGCAGGGAGGAAAAGCGGGCAGAGAAGGTTTTGACACTGGTGCTGGAGGTCCCGTTAAGCTTTCAGATGTTGAGTTCAGAAGTGATACTCCACCACATTACATGCATTATTATCGGTTGGGGGCACAGCACAATTATGAGATTATCATGTGTATTTTCAATGATTCGTGACATGCAACAGGGTAAGACCTGGAATCGTTTGTCCACATTCGAAAGATAGGGAAAATGCTGCGTACGTATTATATTGACCCACCTGCAGGTAGATCATCTTTGCATGCAATTAATACTGGGATGCTACAATACTTTTTCTGTTCAAGAATACAATACATACTTTTGTTGTGGCTGCTCTCCAAAGTTATATTTTTACCATAATTATTTTCTCACAAGATATGTACTATCATTTGTTGCTACATAACCGATATGATTAAACACATCTGAAATTTCGATCTAGTTTTCTAAATTTCTGTGTTGTTGGTCAAAACAAACAAAAAAGTATAATTTTTTAAATAAAATAACACATGTAATTTTTGAAAAAGGAAAGAGTGTGTCGTGTGTTCATGCAGTGCCGTTAAACTCGGCTTGATCCGCTTATTTTTTCATCTTTATCCGGAACAGTGTTTTCCTCTCACAAATTCCTTCAGCATTTCTCCAAACCATCCAGATTTCTCCAAAATTCAGACAAGCAAATGAGGCCAAACAAAACTTGTAGTTTGGGCATTGGCACTTGGTGATGAGTCAACTAACCAACCTATCTGGTAGCAGTAACAATATTGCGTGAGCTCAGCCTCTCGTAGGGCCTGTTTGGCACAGCATGAGCTGTTGTGAGCTGTTTTATTTGTTAAACATTTATTTACAAAACAGCTTCACCTATGAAGTTGTTTTTCTCCCCCTTTCACGAAGACATGAGTTGGAATGAAGCTGAAAAAAGTAGCTTATCTTAACTTTCTCTCTCATTTCTCTCTTCCATCTATGAAGGAAGTTGTTAGTGAAGCTGTTTTGTCAAATAGATTTTTTAAAACAGCTTAGCTTCACTTAGAAAGTTATTTATAAAGCTATTTCAGAAGAAAAAAATCAACTTTACTAATGAAGTTGAGCTGTGCCAAACAGATACATATTTTACCTATATAAGCTTAACTGAAAAACTGTACGCGCCTTTACGTGAAAACGATACTGATATTTCCGCGACATGAGGCCTGCGTTTTGGTGAGAGCTACCTAATCTATCTACTGCTAGCTAACAGAACAGTAAAAATAGGCATACAAATGCAAAATGAAATGAATAAACATACATATATTCCTCTGGACCTCTCCAAGCGTTAGCTTCTGATGTTTCTAAATTGATCTAATCTAATCACAACTTGCGTCGATTGCACCGTTCGATCGATGGATGCAACCACTCGCAGAAGCCGCGAGGGAAAGGAGCGAGCAAGAGTGGCCCGGTCGCAAATTTTCTATGTACGCCCACCAACCCCAGCCAACCACTATCGCTCTGTGACTTCCTACCATGCACGGCACCAGGGAGCGAGCATGCGCAAACCGGCCGACGGCCGTTGTTTATATAGCCACTCGAGCCCTACTCATGCCACTCACCACCAGGCCAGTTAGATCGATCTCTCTTTCTCTGATCTTTCTTTCTTGCTTCAGAGATTGATCGATAGATCGTTCACAGCTAGCTAGCTGATCGAGCAAGGCGAGAACGAGAGCAATGGCCGGCGGTCGTCGTCTCTCCCCTGCGTGCCTCTTTCTCGCCGTCGCCCTCGTGGTCGTCGTCGCCTTGCCGGAGCTCGCCGCCGCCCGCACCCGCCGCTACACGTTCAATGTACGCATCCAGCCGGTGTCGTCCAATAATGTGCAATGCAGTCTAGCTAGTAATCTATCGTCACATATATATGTGTGTATCAGGCGTGCTTCGCTAGCTGCTTTGCTTGCTGAATGTTTATTTGAGTGTCTCAGACAGGCACACAAGTTAGTTAGTTCACAAATGGCCGCCTTTGCTTTTTGCAGGTGACGATGGCAACGGTGACGCGCCTGTGCGTGACGAAGAGCATCCCCACGGTGAACGGGCGGTTCCCGGGACCGAAGGTCGTCGTGCGCGAGGGCGACCGACTCGTGGTGCAGGTCCACAATAACATCAACAACAACGTAACGTTCCACTGGTATGTCCATCTGCGTGTGTCCGATCGTTGCTTGACGCAACCGCCGGCGCTTACTTATTGCTCGCACCACCATCCGCATGCATTGCAGGCACGGCGTCCGGCAGCTGCGCAGCGGGTGGTCGGACGGCCCGTCGTACATCACGCAGTGCCCGATCCGGCCCGGGCAGAGCTACGCCTACGACTTCCGCATCGTGGGGCAGCGCGGCACGCTGTGGTGGCACGCGCACTTCTCCTGGCTCCGCGCCACGCTCTACGGCCCGCTCCTCATCCTCCCGCCGCGCGGCGTCCCCTACCCGTTCCCCAAGCCCCACACAGAGGTCCCCCTCATGCTCGGTGAGTGGTTCAACGCGGACCCGGAGGCCGTGATCAAGCAGGCGCTGCAGACCGGCGGGGGCCCGAACGTCTCCGACGCCTACACCTTCAACGGTCTGCCTGGGCCGACCTACAACTGCTCCGGCGCCAGCGACACGTTCAAGCTCCGGGTGCAGCCCGGCAAGACGTACCTGCTGCGGCTCGTCAACGCGGCGCTCAACGACGAGCTCTTCTTCGCGGTGGCCAACCACACGCTGACGGTGGTGCAGGCGGACGCCAGCTACGTCAAGCCGTTCACGGCCGACACGCTGGTCATCTCGCCGGGGCAGACCATGGACGTGCTCCTCACCGCTGCCGCCAGCCCTTCCTCGCCCGCCGCCGCCTTCGCCATCGCCGTCGCGCCCTACACCAACACGGTCGGCACGTTCGACAACACCACCGCCATCGCCGTCCTCGAGTACGACGGCGCGCCGCAGCAGAGCGCGCTCCGGAGCCTCCCGCGCCCCGCGCTGCCGCTGTACAACGACACGGGCGCGGTGGCCAACTTCTCGGCTAGGTTCCGGAGCCTCGCGAGCGCGCAGTACCCGGCGCACGTGCCGCGGACGGTGGACCGGAGGTTCTTCTTCGCCGTCGGGCTCGGCGCGGACCAGTGCCAGAGCCGGGTGAACGGGACGTGCCAGGGCCCCAACGGCACCAGGTTCGCGGCGTCCATGAACAACGTGTCCTTCACCATGCCCCGGACCTCGCTCCTCCAGGCGCACTACCAGCGGCGGTACAGCGGCGTGCTCACGGCCAACTTCCCCGCGGCGCCGCCGGTGCCGTTCAACTACACCGGCACGCCGCCCAACAACACGTTCGTCACGCACGGCACCAGGGTGGTGCCGCTCAACTTCAACACCACCGTCGAGGTGGTGCTGCAGGACACCAGCATCCTGGGCGCCGAGAGCCACCCGCTGCACTTGCACGGCTACGACTTCTTCGTCGTCGGCCAGGGGTTCGGCAACTACGACGCCAACAACGACACCGCCAAGTACAACCTCGTCGACCCCGTGCAGCGGAACACCATCAGCGTGCCCACCGCCGGCTGGGTCGCCATCCGCTTTGTTGCCGACAACCCCGGCGTGTGGATCATGCATTGCCACCTGGACGTGCACCTGAGCTGGGGTCTGGCAATGGCGTGGCTCGTCAACGACGGGCCGCTGCCGAACCAGAAGCTGCCGCCTCCGCCGTCCGATGTCCCCAGGTGTTGATACACTCCGATCCGAGACATTGATCTGCGGAGGTTTTCATCCGTGCAATGCACGCGCACATACGTGCAGCTTCGTTTTGTGGCGGTAGCGGGATGGACTCAATCGATCGATTGGCCCGTGGAATACCCCATTTTGTGATGATGTCTGATTTTGTTGCTGCACTGTTTTGCAGACATACAAGATCTGTAAAAACAAGTTTATTGGGTGGTGTGTTGTTGCGTGATTATTCTTTTTTTACGATTCTTTGATTACACCTTTTGTTTTCATGCTGGACATTGTTAGTGTGTACAGTGTATAAGGTATATATACGACATATAATGTATCAGCCAACCACTGGATCAGCTAATGATTCTTTTTATCATCATCAGAGTGTGCTTTGCAATTGCCACCTTCACACTCCCAGGATTGCTTCCTGCTTAATGAAATACAGGCATAACGCCTGATCGAGAAAAAAAATGCCACCTTTGCACTCCCACAATTTTCAACAACAAAAAAATGTTTCCATGTGTGGAATCTGACAATCTGTGATCATTGGTTATCACTGATGTATCTCTTATTAAAAATCAATGTTGTACTAGCCATCGGCAGTGTCCCATGGAGATTGTAAAAAGAAATTGTAAAAGAAATGTGTGAAAAAACTACGGCGCAGAAGAAGGCCCGTGCGGGTGCGCTCTCCCAGGGCCGAATAACCCAGACTGGCCCGGCCGTCCGCCACATTCCCCATTCCTTCACATTTGACCCCGCGTGTTTCTGTCTGTCTCTCTCCACCCTCTCGCTCTCCGATGAGGTGACAACTGGTGGGCCACCGCCGCCGCCGTCACCGCTGCACTACGCCAAGTTCTGAGGCCTTATCGCTCTCTTCGCCAGCGGCGAGCAACCACCAGGTATTCCCACCGCTTATCTCCCCTTCCTGCATTGCGAAGCCGAACGCCCCAACCCTAACCTAACGCTACTTGGCTATTCGATGTCTCCTAACTTCGAACTCTTAGCAAAAATTATCGGGTGTACACGTGAACATCCACCTGACCCTTTGCTAGGTCCGCCCCAGCCCACTTGGATTTTTTTTTATTTTTAACACTTTTTTTAAACTATTTTTAAAACTGACACTATTTTTTTTTTCAAAACTAGCACTTTTGGACGCGTCAACTGACATGGCGCGGCCAAACCACTCTACCGCGCCATGCATGGCGGCGCGGCTAGGTTGCCACCGTGGCAGCGACCGGTGACGTGGCCTAGCTCTGTCGCGCCACAGATCACGGCGCGGCGGGCCCCAGTAAAGGCCCGCGATGCGGCTCTCTCTTCCCTTTCTCTCTCTCTCACTCGGCCCCGCATGCCCGCCGCCCGCAGCCCGTCGGCGCGCCCGCCACCGCCCTCGCCGCCGTGCTACGCGACTGCCGCCGCCGCGCCACGCACGTGCCCGCGACTGCAGCCACCGCGCCACGCACGCCTCCGCCCGCCACCGTGCCACGCACGGCTGCCGCCCCACGCATGCCGCAGCGCCACGCACGCCGCCGCCTGCCGCCGTGCCCGACGCCGCCCTCACTGTCGCGCCACGCAAGGCCGCCGCGACCGCCCTCACTGCCGCGCCGCCGCTCTCACTGCGCCGCCCTCACTACCGCCACCGCCCTCACTGCCGCGTCGCCACTGTACACCGCTTCCCACTATCGCGTGCCCCTCCATCTATCTCGCGTCCACCCGCCACCACCGCCGCCACCGCCGCGCCGAGGCCAGCGCCCGTGCCTTCCCCCGCGGCACCCGCCTCTCGGCCCGGTCTAGCGCGCCGCCCCCACGAGAATGAGCGCACGCTGCTGCCGCGAGGACGAGCGCCGTCGCTGCGAGGACAAGAGCATGCTGCTCCCGGTAGGACGAGCGCCGCCGCCGCGAGGACGAGCGTACGCTGCTGCCGCGAGGACGAGAGCACGCTGCTGCCGCGAGGTACTCCCCTTGTGTATTTGTTGATTGAATCAAAATTATTGTTAGTTAGGGTTAAGATGCAAAATGAGTTTGAATGATTAGTTAGTATAGTAAGTTAGTACAATAAGTAAAGTTAGTATAGTTAGTAAAATTAGTTAATTTAGTCAGTATAGTAAGTTAGTATAGTTAGTTAGTTTAGTTAGTATAATTAGTGAGTCTAGTTAGTTATTGTATTTAGTATAATTAGTTGTTGTAGTTAGTCTTGTATAGGTGTTAATATTAGATTAGTTAGTATAGTTATAGTTAGAATAGGTATTAATATTACTATAGACAGTACGAACGACGATTTCGACGACTTGATGAAGTTTCTTGAAATGCTTTTGTAGATGGATTGTTGTGTTAGAGTTTTTTACGGAGTAAGTGTTAGGAGAGAAGATGGTATGTTTAAGGATATGGAAGAAGAATTGGAATGGTTTGATGAACCTCCTAGTTTCAACGACCTTTGTGTCCGTTTGAATGTAAAGTTTGGCGGTGATTTCACACTGAATGGGAGGTTTGATACTAGGAAGACTAGGGCACACTATGTCCTGATGCCCTTGCGCGACCCTGCTCACTGGTCCCGCTACAATAGGGTGCTTCAAGGTTCCAATGTGCCCATGGCTGCAGTGGTGGTGGAGAATGGGTACAGGATGCAGGGTGTCCTAGACGGTCCGTCCAATAACTATGTTGGAGGCAATGAGCAAGAATTGGGGGGTCGAAGGGGAAGCAACTCAGGGTAAAATGGATTTAGACGGTCAGTTGATGCAGGAGCAGTTTCATTCAAGTCAAGTAGGTTGTATAAGTAATGACTTCGATGTGAACGAGTTTGAACTGGAAGAGAAGGAGCAGGAGGAGGAGGATAGGATCGGTGATGTAGTTAGCAGTGATTCAGACGATTCAGATGATGACCAGGGAGGTAGACATGTTATGCCCACACTGGTTGATGCCATGCTAGTACCTATTCATGGTATGCCATTACCAGTACCAACTGAGGTTTTGCATGCTATCTAGGCTCAGGATACACTAGTCACAGATTTGCCAGCAGATGATACCCCCTATGATTCATGGGGCAGAATTAGAGAAGCGCAGCAGTATGTTCCACCACCACCTTACACAACGACTGAGCTTGAGCAACTAAGGTCGATAAACGTACCTTTCAGGGGTGTTCTGAACTATAGGGATGTCGAAGATGAGCCGGATATGATATGACGATTTGTGATCTTTGGTCTCTAGATGTGTAGAAAATCATTGTATGACCATGAGAAAGAAATCCTTAGGAAGGGGATGATATTTAATACAATGTCAGAGATGAAGCTCTTCCTTCAGGACTATGCTATGTATCACCATAGACCATACAACGTCACTCATTCGGACCAGAAGTTGAGGTACCACGTGATATGCAAAAACGGTTATATGTGGAGGTTAAATGCACGAAAGAGACAGAGTGATGGTAAGTGGAGGATAAGTAAAGTGGTTGAACCCCACACTTGCCTAACAAATAAGGGGAAGAAAAATCATCAGCAGCTCACTGCACGTTACCTTGACCGTCGTATATTGGGGCTCGTTGATGACAATAACAACATTTCGATGTCTTTGTTATAACAGTTCATATCTGGATTCGTTAAGTATGATGTGAAGTATGGAAAGGCTTGGCGTGCTAAGCAAATTGCCCTGGCGATTTGTTGGGGTAGTTGGGAGGTAGCGTACAACAGGGTGCCCCGCATCTTATGTGCAATGCATTACTACAACTCTGGCTTGAAATGGTTTGTGGACACTGGAGGGATGTATTTTCGGGACCCGTTGAGGCATGTCCTCTATCGGGTGTTCTGGTCGTTCGCGCAAACGGAACATGCATTCTAGTTTTGTCGGCCAGTCGTACTTGTTGATGGCACTTTCCTGACAAGAAAGTACAGGAGCACCTTCATGATGGTTGCTGTTGTTGATCCTGAGAACCAGATAGTACCCATGGCTTTTGCTTTGGCAGAGGGAGAGAACAATGAATCGTGGTCATGGTTCATGCGGTTCCTACGTGTATAAGTGCTTGGCCCATCTCGCACTATATACTTGATCTCGGACCGTCACCTAGGGCTTCTTAATGTTGCAGCTGAGCATATAGATGTGATAAGGGTCGGAGATCACCAACAGCAAGATACCAATGGAAACCTCCTCGGAGTGGCCCGGTCTTCACGACAGTAGGTTAGAAATCACAAGATAACTTGCTGCGAATAGCGGAGGATAACTAGCTTTATACGTGCCAAGGTTGGATGCGACCAAGCGACGGGGAGAGAGGCACTGAACCCGCAAAGACTTTGACTCGATCTCCGAACGACCGCAGAACCACAACCGGGACTAATCCACACAAAACGGTGCAGCCGTACTGGGAACCGTAGAGCACGAAGTAGAGGACCCCAGAGGGATCTCTTCACAAGTCCAGGAAGAACAAGGAAGAACAAGGGTGTGCAAGGCACTCAGCAGCTCAGCTGCAAAACCATACAGGTTATGTGTTCATTCACAAAATGATCAGAATTCGTCCCCTTTGCAGCAGTACATAGGGGTATTTACTAGTAACAAGTCTCTAAGATAAGTGTGAACTAAAGTCTCCACGTTGGGAAGGTGGAAGGCCAACAGGTGAAGCACTCCCGAGATGGTCTTTAATTCCCGCGCGTCTCAGGGTCTTCAGCGCAGTCTTCACGAAAATGGCCATTACTCCTAGCTCGGAAGTCCAAATGACGTGCCGTCAGTTGCGTTGGAAACTAGACTTGAAGCACTTTCTAACCATGTATATTATGACCCCCGTCTCTTCCCGAGATGGTATAGTTTTGCCTTGGAAGTTGGAGCAGTTGCTGTGTAACACTGGGTCTTGGCGCGTAACCCATTCTCCTCAGGAGTAGCCGCCTTGGTGTTCTTGGCGTAGCCCTCAGCGTCCTCGATGTAACCCGACATTGTCGCCTCTTGTGTAAACCTAAGTAACATAAGAGTACATGATTTAGGCAGTAAATAATTCTCATCAATATCAAGGTGTAACCGAGAGAGGAAAGTATGCACCT